ACATAGCATTTTCTAGAATTGAGTAGATCCCCCCAAACAACACCAATTGCTCACTCAATTGGGAACTTCATGGCAAGGTGGTAGGTCAACACAATATCTTGGAGAACGTGCAAAAGAGGGTGGCCCAGAATGGCGTTCTATGGAGATGGTGGCTTCACAACAAGAACTAGCATGATGACAGTAACCTTGCTCGGTGTGGTCCCCATTGTTACCGATAGACTAATCTTCCCAATCGGACAAATGACATCCCCATTGAAACCAACTAGTGGTACATCGGTTAAGATGAGCTGCTTTAAATCGAGTTTCATCTGTTAGAGGCAGATGGTCCTCTCTTTGACATCCCCATTGGCCCTCCTGCAATGACTATGATCACCTGATAGGCATTTCCTCTTCAATCTCCTTCTCTTGGTCTTTGGGTTGTTTGGGTCCCTGACGAACTTCTTGAAGTAGCCCTATTGGATGAGCTCCTAGATCTCATTCTTCAATTCTTAACAATATTCTGTGTCATGACTGATGGTCCAATGGAACTTATAGTACAGATCTTCATTTCTTTTCGTTGGGTTGCCTTTCATGCATGAGGACCACTTCAAGAAATCATAGTGTTTGACCAGCATGAGGATCCCACCCTGTTTGGATGAGCTTCTTTCTTTTTGGCTTCTCTTTCCATCGTGATCTCCACAGTCCTTGTCCTAGTCCTTCCTCTTCTTCCTTTCTCCTTGGTCCCTTTGGGCACGAACAGCCTCTTCGGCATTCATGTCCTTGTCTCAATTGAGTAGCACAATCATGTCTTGAGGTGGTCTCTTCACTAGGAAGAACGTGAAGCATAAGTCCTTAACCACATGGGAGGCCGTTGTTACAACCATTGTCGGATCGAGGTCACGGACCTCGAGGGCCTCTAATTTGAATCACTATATGTATTCCTGGAGGGTCTCCTCATGTCATTGTTGGATATGCATTAGACTCATCACAATCTTCTAGTACCTACGACTTTTCGTGAAGTAGGATTCAAACTGGTCCCAACTCTTTATGGAGAGATGCAAGCCCCGAGTACCATAGCCAAGTTGTTTCATGTAGTGTGGTTGGGAAAGTCGGGCACATGCTTGCCTCCGAGGCCCCATTGAATAGCATGAGCGCTTGAAAACTCTCAACATGGTCCAATGGGTCAGAGGTCCCGTCATAGGTCTCCAAGGTCGACATCTTGAAATCCTTAGGATGTGGCGCTCCAAGAGTATCTCGGGCAAGAGGACCTTGGTTACCTTGGGAACACCTAAGGTGTCAGACTAGCTGGCTTCCTCGTCCCTAGACAAGCTGGTGTGTTGGTCATCTCTAGTTCCAAGTCACAAGAGCTCGTCAAGAATGCCTTTTTCTACTTGTCCCGTCTTGAGGTCTCCGTGGAGCGCGAGTGATCCATCCTAGAGGAAGAGTTCGCCCTACTCCCTTCCTCAAGCACATAAGTGTTGTCCCATTGCTCTGACATATGGGTTCTGGCAAGACTGTCATTATCGTTCTAAGGCACTGGGGAAGCTAGAGGAATCACCAAAGGCATGGTAGTCTAATATTTAGGTTTTGTGCTAGAAGTTGCCATCGTGCTGGTGCGACGGGCTTCTCTTGTGGCAACTGCTGTCTAGTTGCTTCTCGCTCATCTTGGGCTCAAAGACGGACACCCATGCTTTATACCAGTTGCATGAGGTCCTTGAACTATTCTTTCATCGTACCTTGTGGTGGTGTAGAGGGTTTAGCATTTTGAGGATACCCCCTAAAAGAAGATCCTCTAGCAGGCTACTAAGTGTCTTTATTTTTTGGTGAAGACATGATGATGAATGCACAAGGTAATGACATTTGTGCTCACGAAGTTCTCGTAGACAGCGCCAATTGATGAAGATTATAAAATTATGATGATCTGAAGGTTGGGCACAAACTATGGTGGCAAATCTGCAATAAACGACATCAAAGGGCCCAGGTGACTCCAACGCTTTAGTTAATGGATGTCGAGCTCTTTTACGTAAAGTAGACAAGAATCGCGCAACAATGTGAGAACGGGTGTGAGTATACCTTGGCAAGGTGGAGGTTCACCCTTATATAGACCTTGAGGTTTGATGCAGACGTGTCCAACATGTTCAGGCTGTTGATGGTTACGAATTCGCCGATTTCAAGATACACCCGCAAAGCAGGGATAGGTGGACTTATCGTGGCCAAGTGGGCCTCGTGTCCATGAACGTCTCGAGGCAGCTGTTTCGTGCAAATGGGGAAGAGTTAGAGCTTGCCACATCATATAGGAATAGGATGGAAGTGAGCTGAGGTCAGAGAGGTTTCCTATTCTGCTAGTCGCTCAGGTCGAATGAGTACGTCAAAACTATAGGTTGATCTGACGAAGTGCCCTTAAGCAAGGTCAAAGTCCGCTCAGGCTTCATACATCAATATGTCGAGATGCCATTAAGCGAGGTCCTGCCACACATGTTGCCAAGGTGCCATAAAAATTTTTCATTGCCACGTGGCAGGATGTAATTGCAGCGGAAAAATCGTTTCTCAACAGGATTGTTGGTCAAAGTCCTTCGCGTAACATATCTTTCCGGCACCATGGCTTTTGACCCAACCCGAATCAGTTTATGTTTATTTAAGACGACGAGGGACAGAATGAATACACGTGAAAAGCCGATTGCCTTGAATTAAATTAAAGCATATTTTGCCTTGAACAAAATCAATTTGTTAGCCATTTCCTGGATTGGGAAAAAGTCCAAAAGCATTTTCTATACTCATAACATTTCCGATCCTATCCAGCTCAAAATTGTTAAAAAAATTTCAGAGTTCAAAAGTTACTATTTACCAATCAGACAAGGCTGGGTAGTTAAACCTCACAAAATTTGAATTTTGTAGCCAAATTTTGAGGGTGAAAGTGAAATCCTCCCCAAGCTTTTATGAACCTTGATTGTACCTTGTCTAGGCTCATGTATCATGTATGTCAGAGTTCTCTATAAATAGGGGGTCTTGGCAAGCCTTTGAGGCATCCATAATCCTATGAAAAGCTCACAAGGCAACTCATTTAAGAGAAGCTTAGAGACTTTTCATGGTGGAGGCTATCCTATTTGTGAGAAGAAGCCACAGTATTCTTTTTGTTCAAGGAGGAGCTCCATTTGCTCCTATCCAGACCTTGCAAAAGGCTAGAAGTTCCTAATTCATGAAATACTCGATTCATAAAGTTCCCAATTCGCAATTTGGCTCATGAGAATCCTGGTTTGTGAAGCTCCTGGTTCATGAGAAGTCCTCATTTGGCAGTTCAAGTGCAAGGGAATTGGATTATACATTTCAAATTGGTGTTCTTCCTTTTCTTTTTGAATGAGATTAGGAATGTTGAATTGCTTTTTTTCTCTTTTGAACCGTGGAATTACAGTTTCCTTTTCTAGTTTCATGCCCCCTGCGAAAGGCGTGTAAACCCAAAAAAGGGTTAACTCCATCAGTCTCTCGTGTTGCTTGTTATTATACTCATGCATCTTTGATGAATTGTTGATTCATGCTTCATGTAGGATAGAGATATTATATGCTTGCATATCATGTAGATTGCATTTATGCATGTATACTAAGACATTGTCTTTTGGGGTTTATGAAGAAGGTGATGCTCACCATGAAACCTCCTAGAAAAAGGATGAGTCCAATTGAAGCACCCCTTATTGCTTAAACTTTTAGTACAAAATGCAGAATTTTAAGACATGAAAGAGCAAAGCAGAAGCCCGAATTTCGATTTTGGGCAAATGTGGTGCCTAACCCTTTTGACACTCATACCCTGGTCCCAGACTTAGACTAGTTAGAGACGGTTAAGGATTCAGTCACTTTGAGATTTTGGACCAAAACCTCTCGTTTTTTATGGATCTAAATGGTTTTCCAAAATCCCCCCTCCTGTTTACTACCCCCCTTGTAACCATCATGTGCTGGTTAAACCAAGGTTCAAAGTATCAACACGTATCAGCCCGTATTAGCCGATACATATCATTTTGGAAGCTTCCTGATACGCCCCTACAAGGGCTGTATTGGAGTTATGACCGGTTCAGGGGGTGGAGGAGCCTTAAACCGGCCCCCCTGAACTAGTTTTGAAAAAAATAAAAAAATAAGTACCGATATGTCCTGATACACCTCTACCGGTGTATTGAGCGTATCGATATTTTGAACCTTAGGTTAAACACCTCCAAATGATCAATTTACCCTTTTCTTAATTTATAGAATCATTTTTCCCTTTCTCTTGTATAGTTGTATAAAATATAAACCATTATGACTCTTTCAATTTCTTCCTCATAGTGAGGGTTTTATTTGATTGGGCCTGAAAAGCAAATGCGCTTTGCCCTTCCCATTTTCATCATTTTGACATATCATATATGAAACTCGAAAGTGTATTTTAATAAATTAAATTCCTCTATCAACCCAATTAACAGAGGGAGGAAAATGTTGGAATCTTCAAAGGACAAGGGAGTCATTATCACAAATGAATGTTCAAGGGACTAAATATCGCTACCCCTACGGTACAAGATGGAAATTTGCAATTTAACCTAATTTAAACCTTTAAAATATCAGTTGAAGTTACTAATTGCAAAAATAAAAAATAAAAAATAAAAACAAACAAAACCCACTAAAAATCACTAATTGCGAAATAGGAGTGCTAAGTTGGTTTGATCACTAATAGCCTGGAATATTTATTTTATCCACCAAAAGAACAAGCAATAAATCATTAAGTTCAGCCAATTCAGATTTCAGCCTTCAATTATCTCCTATCGTAATAATCCGAATATCCGATCCACTGAAATCACACGTATCAGATGCGGAAGCATGCAACCAAGTAATACCCATTTATCTTTTCGTCCTTGCCTTCTTTATCATCTAACACGTTAAAAATCTTTTGATGTCGGAAAAGGGATTACGTTGCCATTTATTTCATGGAAGATTATCCCCCCATCTTGAGATGGCAGAATAGCCTATAAACATATTTGACGGCAAAAAAGTCATAGATCTCAATCTGAAAACTAGAAAAATAAGCATCCAAGGCCTATATTCCTCCCTGGAGAATGTAAATTCAACAAAATTTCTCAATTACCCCCTTGGGCAAAAATTCATCTCTCATCATTTTCTAACCCAGAAATATCCTGGTATTCTGTGTTTTGTCCTACAACAAATGTTCTTTAATGGACACTTAAAACTCAACATGACCAAGTAGCAGTAAGGCCGGGCAAAAACTTCATTATCTTTCCCCCACCTCAAGTACAAAGAAAATTAGAGCACGGGCCATCCTTACTAGATATCAATAATTACAATCAAAAAACCTTGAACCATGATGAAATAAGTAGGTTCAAGGAATCCCTCGTCCAAGATCTGATGTGACCACCGAAACCTCAATTCTTTTGCAAGCCCAAATGAACCTGGAGTGGTAGGTATAACTTCACCAAATATTCTCACAAACCACTTTTCTCAATAATTCCTAATGGCAGTAAAGCTTGATCACTGAATCAGCACCAGCAGTAAACAACCATGGTTGCTTTGGATGAAATTTACAGTCCATAACCCCTGCAACAAAAACACAGAAAATTGTCAGGTGTGAAATGACAATTAAAACATTTATGTGGCTTTAGATCAATGAACCCTTCAACCATGAGATAAATAGTTCGGTTATTTATGAGGCATAAGATGGAATTACCACACCCTGTTATTTACCGTCAGAACCAATAGTATGGTTATTTGTGATAAGCGCTTACTTCATGTTTTTTTTTAGTTTTCCATTCACCTGGTCGCTTTTATTGGTTTCAGAATGCAGCTTCTACTAGTTTTTTTTTTATTTTCTGCGCAAGATTCATCCTCCTCCCCTTCCTCCTAACCCCACTCACTCCTCTTAAGGAGGCTTACACCTTGTGTTTGGGAAGCTTACGCCTCTTGTGTTCTGAACTATGCCTCTAGGTAATGGAACGCCTCGCATCACGCCTCCGCGTTTTAAAACATTGGTTGGGACAAAGCTTAGATGATAATGATTTAACTTTACCATACCCTACAATCCCTTGGGCTATGTTTGGTTTTAAGGAAAAGGAAGGGAAAGAAACCTATACAAGTTTATAAAGGCTTCCCTACCTTTCCCTTCCTTTACCTACTTTTTCCTTCAAACCAAACACAGCCTTAGCTTTCAAATCAATATCATGTCTCGGACTCCTAGATGACTGATATAACACTCAGATAATGTATCCCCTTCATCAATGTCCGTGTGTCTATCTGTATCTGGGCATTGAAAGTGGACAGAACGTTCAGGAGTACCATGATCACTTCAGTTAGAACCAAAGACATAAAAGTTGCCAGACCTATTTTTCTTTTACAAGACATTTATATAGAGTCTTGCTCTTTTAATAAGATAAAGGCACGAGTCCTCCACAGGAAGACTTCACCCCATTCATTCTGGCTCAACAAAAAAAGTTCATAAATACAGGCACTCTTTTCCCTCCCAACCCATCACAAAAGAAGAATGAAAGAATAAAAGATGCAAGTAGAATACGCTGACCTCTTCCATTTGCGCTTCTATGCCCTCGGAGAATTTCCAGTGGAACAATAAGAGGATTCTGGTTAAGATCTGAATAAACCATGCCATGGAAGACATAAGCCGTGCAATCATCAGAGCATGTAGCAAAGAGAGGATATGAACGATGGAAGGCAACATTCGTAATGTCCTTAGGATGACACCTAACATTTCCCCAAATCAGATAAGAGCATAAATATCAGTACATCACATAAACCTCTATTACTAAAATAATAGGAATGTACGGTTTAACTTTAAGCACACTACCAGGAACAAATTGGTGGAATTTACCAAAGAAACGAGTCAAATCATAAATATTCTAAAACATAAAGACCTTAAACCTATAGTTTTCTTCAAAATGCAAAAGAACCTTCAAGTGACATACTTGAGAACTCTATACGGTTGAGATGAGAGGTCCATATCAAACCAACACAACTTTCCTTCTTTGCTTCCCACAATAACATTATCACCTGCATGGAAAGGATGCCTTACAAATATTTAGTATAAAATAAATAGAATTCCATCATCAATCATTAATTCTCCACCAGATAGATACAACTAAACAAATTGAAAAGATAAAAAGAACTTGCCTGCAGGATGAATTGCAATAGAGGAGACCTCACGAACCCCTGTCTCGAGCTTCTTAATGAGCTTTTGCTTCAACAAATCATAAACACGGACATTTTTCTTTGTAGAAATGAAGAAGATAGAACGAGATGGATGGAAAGCAGATGAAACTGGAAGGCCATGCAACTTAAAGGGGATTTTTTGGGTGAGTTTCTTCGAGAGTTGGTGGATAAGAATTGCTCTTGAGTCATGTATATAATAGGTTAAGGAATTCCAAATATACAGGTAAAAAACTGACAATAAGAAACTAATCTTTCAGGATTATTGTTTGGTATATAAATATGAAGAAAACCGACAAAGGTTGTCAGGTTCCTTGTTACCAAACATTTATGTGCCATTTCCATTAAGATATGAAGCAGACAATAACTTTAGACAAGAACCAGTTATTACAATCACACAATGAGATGACACATTGGAGCCCAGGCACCTGAAAACATAATGTCCTAATCATCAATATATAAACAAAATAAATTCTAAAAGGATATCACCCGGCACTACTGTAGAAAAGTAGTCTCCCTTGCGATGCCATTCAACAGAGGAAACCGTCTGCAAGAGCCCATAAAATTGATAGACTAAATGCTTTAGGAATCACACTTCAAGCTAACAATAACCTTGAAACAAATAATAGAGAAATTTAAGCAATGATTTCCCTTTACAGGATCAGGAAAGAAACAAAATAGCACCTTAAGATGCTTCAACATGATGCCCTCGTGCTTGTCATGTTGAATCCAGCTCACTATGGATGTACCATTGCCTACACATAAAGCACAAAAAGTAGAAGGGCTCAAACATATTGCTTCAAAAAGACAAAGGTTAAAACATATGTATTTGATCTAAAAGATTAAATATAGACCCGAGCTTTCTGGTGCAGTAGGTGTCTCAACATGCAACAGTTCTTTAATCTTTTCCTGTTCTTCTTCATTCCCAAGCCCAGTGTTGAAAAGCAGCACATCGTGCTCCCTTATAAATTTATGGTAATAAATTTAGATGAAAATAAATATATAGATAACATAAGTGACAGTATTTTAGGAATAAAAATAAAACTGGCTTACACAGCTACTGCCAGGATATGGAGCTCAGGTAAAGGATTCCATGCAACATGTTGCACAGCTATACCAACATCCCAGATTCTGAGGCATCGACCAGTTTCAACCTCCCAAATGCGCACAGTTCCATCAGTTGAACCTTCAGCCATGTTTCAAAGATAAGAAGACATGCAAGAATAGTTAGTAATCTTTCTTCCAAGAAATTAAATTCAAGATTCTAGAGATACAGAGATTGTATTCCACCTGAAGCCATCCATTGCCCTGAAACATCAATTGAAATTGATAGAACAGTATCCTTGTGGCCTATATACTCAAGATAACATGTCACAGGATAAGGCCTTAGATCTTTTCGACTAGGGAGTTTGGGCTTCAAGGATTCAGGATCAATATTTATCTGAGAAAAATGAATAAAACCTTTAAGTCGTTATCATCAAACCTTCAAGCCATCACAAGTATATGCCTAAGTATACTCCACAAAATGAAAAGGTGAAACAGAAGAGAAATAAAGAACAGAGAAAAGAAAGGAGAAGTGTGTTACAGAAGAATGCACCTCTAGAGTACATGATTTACAGGTTAACTTGGACCAAGATCAAGTCCATACCAAAACAATGTACTCGTAGTTCATTTGGGGTAGGGTTCTAAGATTTTTCTTTGATAAGTTTCTTATGAGAACAAAGATCTGAATTATGAAGCTTTGATGAAAGACTAATTCTTTTGGTAATGGTTACAACTATATCCTATTTTCTAATTTTAACCTTAAACTTTTCAGGTGATATATTGTATCAAATGCAAATACAACTGAATCTGATAGATCTGGGTAAATTTGCAAGTTCAAGGATATTCCAGAATAATTGATGAAGATGCTTTGATGCGGTTGATATACATGCCTTAAATGTGACTGTCAAAACACTAATTTTTCCCCTTCAACAGGATGTAGTTTTCATGTTCAAACTTGATAGAAAGTTGAACTTCAAGGGGAGTTGTGAATCTGAAAGCTTAGAAATCAAATATGTACCTTTGAAATGTAAAAGAGCCAAGAATTTGATCTATTTTCAAAGTTTTTTGGAATTTATACTTATTTTTCCATTTATATTTTTATGCATTTACTAACTTAATTACCAAAGAGAGCACCCTCTTCTTTTCCTTCATTCATATCAATGCATCATAATTTAAAAGTTTTTACTAGCCAAGAAGGCATCGTCATGTGTTTATGCCTAAAACAATTCAGCAAGAAAAACCTCACAGTTCTAACCTCAAATCTTTGAGCAAAACAAAAGGCCAAGTTTTACAAGAAATATATATTACTACCAAAAAGAGTCAAACAACCAAGAGAAAATATAGCAGAAATATTTCTTTCATCAGATGCAAATTCTCCAACTTACACGTTTCTTTCTTGCTCTAGGGCACAAGTACAGGTCCAAACAACGATCAAATGATTCCTTAAGAGCATTCTCATATGCTGGAACACTTCTCAGTGATTCAAACCTATGCAAAAGAACAGCAGTTAATATTGTATATGTTGAAATATCAAAAGATGCAAGATAATGGATATTGAATGGAAAATAAAAGGCTACAATACCTTTTTGGAATAAACTTAGGGCGATCTTCCTCATACATCAACTGGTAAGAATTGATCTCTTCTTGGGTAGGAATATATTCTATTGAAGGATTGTATGATTCCTCATGTCCTGAATGTAAGTGACAAAATGATGTAGCCAACCATAAGAACTACAAAAGAATGAATACAAAAAATAGAAAACAGTAAACTACCTGCGAATTTTGGTTTTGGTGCAGGAATATAACTTAATCCTTGTCCAGACTTCTCCTTTGAGCTGGAATCATCACCCCACAATAAGTAAAAGCGTGGTTCTTCTTTTGGTTTGTCGAATTTTATCAACCCCTTCCTGATCGCCCTGACATATTGAACAACCTATATATTTACAAGCAGAGTAGATGATATGTCAATTCAGCTTCCATCAAATAACTAAATGCATTTTGTCCATATTTTAACAACAACCAAGACCAGCATTATATCAGGATCCAGTAGTTGCTGAACGAATCAACTTCATACATATTCATACAACTTTTATAGAAGCAGCTATAGCAAGAAATATAACGGATAAGAATTTATCAAATAGAAGAAGAAATAAGAGGGCAAACTATAGCAGCCAACTAAATATATGTAAGTGAATTCAGACTGTAATATATACCATCCATCAAAGTTCCCCTCTAGTTAAAGGGTGCCATCTTGCCCAAGCACACCAAAGAATCCAGAAGCCCTGTAGTCCCTTTGCCATACCCCTAAAGCACCTTAAAAAGACTTCTATTGGTAACTGATAAAGTAATAAATTTAGAACAAAAAATTTTATGTAAAAGGTGCCATACAGCCCCATTGTAGGCCAGCAAAGAACCTAACATATCCATTTTTCCTTCTGCCACAATGTTGGGAAAGTTATGCTTTGTTGTATATGTGAGACCTCAAAGAAGACATAGGACTTCATCTCTAATAGAGTAAGCACCTCACCAGGCAAGAACATGACCATACTAAGTTTTGCTTTCCAATTGAAATTTTGAAATGTGATTTATGCCATCACAAAACCAATGTATCATTATTAGAAGATACACTTTAGAACAAAGCTAGTTAAACCTTGAAATGAACAGCAGCAAATAAGCTGACAAAAACAGTAATCACCCAACCTCCACAAAAAGGAAACAATGTCACTCATATTCAGCAACCAATTCATCTCATGATATCAGGAAGCAGGAAATTTAATTTCTAGATAAACATAGCTCTTTACCTTTTTACTTTCCCATTTTGAAGGAATGAAGCGCCTTTTTGGTTCTGGTGCATTTGATAGGGGATGCCTAGCATCTTCCCATACAAACCAATCTACATAAGGCTGCATGACAATCATATAGAACAAATTTAGAGTTTAGCGCATAACAAAATGAATATAATATTTCCAGGAAGATGGTATTTGAGAATGACAAGTTTATAGAATATGATCAGCATGGAAATCAATAGCAACCACAGACCGCATATGGATCAATTTCAGCATGTGGAGTCTTTCCTTTAAGCAATCTGCGAATGAGTCTAGTCTCCTCTTTTGTAAGCTCCACTTCCTCGTCATTGTACTCATCATAAACTTTGCGCCTAAGCATTAAAAAAAAAGTGTTACAATTAGATCAGAAACAGCATTAGCAAAAAGTGTTAAAAGTTTTGATCAGGAAAAGAACCAAGAGAATTTATTAAATCAGCAATAAAGAAAGTAAAAAATACGTAACAAAAGAGAAAACATAAATCTGTCTTCCAAACAGCTTCCCCATACACCTCATATATTTAAAAAAAAACATCCAATCAGTTCCCCTAAATACAGCATACTCCATAATCCACTTCTTAATAACAGGTCAATTAAATAATTGGCAGATCTCCTAATACAGCTTAGCAAGATGTTACCAGGAAAGGCCCTTGGGGAATGTTCCCTCATGATTTTTTGGGTGGTGTGCCCAGGAGAGAGAAATGCCTGTGATTTCCAGAATAGATTCTCATTAAATGAAGAAATGCTAAAAACGAGAGAGCCATCAATTCAGTTTACCCATGGCTATTTTTATTCAAGGATTTGGGAAGGTAAATCATATCGAACCTTTTACATATAACTTGTAGATGTAGTACAGACAATAAATAGCTTTATGCTTTTGTTTAGTTTCACCCCCATTGTCTAGTTGCAGGTTGGCAAAGGAGCAAACATTCAAACATGATACAACTTTTGGAATAATACATAATTACATTTATATGTTATCAGCAATACTAAACAAGAAACAAATATGCAAAATCTCAACATTCTGAAGAATTAAGAATGAAGGTATACAGAGCAAACAGACTGAAGGCTGATAATATAAATGATATATTTTTATTTTATCAAAATAATGGAATAATTGATGGAAAAGAAAACAAATGCAATGTAGAACTATAAAATAAAACTCTTTTGTAATTGGTTATGCTAAATTCTCAAGTATTACAAACTCACAATTCAAGAGTTCAAATTTCTTTAACCACATGCTAAAAATTAGACAAAAATAAGAGTTCTTCAAGGCATTGTCTCATTATCAGTGTTCAATATAAAACAAGCACCCCTTTATTTTTCAAGCACGCATCCTTTTTATCATTAACTGCAGATTTCATTAAGTTGTAAAAAATATAAGGTGTACACGAATTAATGAAACAGTGACTGAGAGATAAAGTCTTCTCTCTCCCCAAACAATTTTCTTCTTACAGTTGTGCCCAAAATACATTTTCTCTGCCCACCCCTTGTTTTGCCAAAGTACCTGCAAAGGAATTTGTGCATCTCTTAACCCATTGTATTCTCACTTCCAGCTCCTTTGGTAACCACTTGAACTTTTTCTTCTCATTGTTGTTGTTCCACAGCTTCATTCCTTCATTTGGTAACCAGCCCACTACCTGTTTTGAGCCTCCTTCAATGCTCAATATCTTAACGTTCAAAAGCCTTGCTCCTGACTGGGAAGAAATGTGGGGACCCTTGGTGGCAAGAGGGCCTAGAGTTACATCAGAACATTGCCCAATTTGCATTGAGAAAGAAATCCCAGGAGGAGGCCCCTCCTTTCAGATTTGAGAATATGTGGTTTGAAGACCCCATATTCAAGATCAGGTTGAAGGAATGGTGGGGGGAACTCAGACCTTTGGGGAGGCTGAAAATGATAGGTTTTGCAACTAAAGAGGCTAAAAGAAAAAATAAAAGAATGGAATAAAGCCCATTTTGGAAGGATAGAAGAAATAAAGATAATTTAGTGGGGAGGATTGAGGAATTAGATAGGAAAGAGGCTCTCAGAATTCTTTCAGAAGAAGAGAGGAAAGATGGAATCAAAAGCAAGAGCTGGAAGAGATTTTAAGAAAGGAGGAAATATACTGTAAACAAAAATCAAAGTGTCTGTGGCTGATAGAGGGGATGGCAAGTCTATGTTTTTTCACTCTCTTGCAAATGGAAGGAGAAAGAAAAACTTAATCCTCAATGTGGAGGAAGAGGGCCAAGTAGTAACAAAGAGTCAGGAGATTACAAGGAATTTTGTAAATCATCTTAAGGAAATATTCTCAAACCCATGGAGTGTCGTCAGATTTGCCAGTGTAGTGTTATAAAGCATTCTGTTATTGATCAAAAAAAAAAATGATTGTGGATCAAATCTTGGTGGCCAGTGTGGTGGTGGCACTCTACTCAGGACCAATAGGTTTCGGTGACTCAATACAGGCTGAATCTCTAGCCCTACATCAAGGTCTAAAGATGGTTGAGCAGATAGGAACAACATACTTAGAAATAGAAGGATACTCACTATTGGTCATTTCTTGGGCCAAAAACATCACAAAGTACCTTGGAAGCTCAAATTTATCTTCAGAGAAATTGACACACTTGCAAGGAAGTTCAACTCTCAGTTTGGTTGGGTCAAACGGGATGCAAATGGGATGGTGGATACCTTAGCAAAACAAGGGGCAAATAGATCTTCGTTGTCCTGGGCAGAATTGTAACTAATTGCTGGAGATTGCAGTTTGTCCCTCTACAATCTTTATCTATTGTAACTAAATTTCTCTGTTATTAATGAAAGTTTTTTGCTGATCACCAAGGCTGATCAGCTGATCTCCTTTTACCCCTGGTGGCAAAAGTGTTAAGCAGAATGGTGGCAAAAGCTGATCTCCAAGGCCTAATTAGAGGTTGGAGGGTAGGAAGAAACCGGGTGATTGTAACCCATCTCCAATTTGCAGATGACATATCCTTTTTCTATGAAGGAACTAGTGAGGAATTGGTGGCAAACCTAAAGGTGCTGTTGAATAATTTTGTGTGGGTGACTGGGTTGAGGATAAATTGGACAAAAAAGTGGTATTGTAGGGGTCAACCTAAGAAGGGGAACCCCTTGGAGGAAACCCTAGGTCAGATAGGTTTTGGAAACCAATCATACAAAGGTTTGATAGGAAACTAGCCCTTTGGAAGAGGAATTATATTTCATTGGGTGGAAGAATAACCTTGATTAGAGCCACTTTGGCAAACCCCCCCACTTGTTTCCTCTCAAGATTCAACCTTTAGAACCCCTTCTAGGGTAATAAGGTGTTTAGAGAAATACATGAGAGATTTCCTTTGGGATCCAGGAGAGGAAAGGAAGGACCATTTGATCAATTGGGAACAATTTAGAAAACCCAAGGAACAAGGGGGTTTAGGAATAGGGAACCTCTTGTAAAGGAACAGAGCTATACTAGGTAAGTGGCTTTGGAGATTTACTTTTGAGAGTGATAGACTATGGCACGAAGTTATAGACAGCATTCATGGGGTGGATGGTAATAGTTGGGAATGTTTTAAAACGCGGAGACGTGACGCGAGGCATTCCACTATCTAGAGGCATGAGAAGTAGTTCAAAACGCAAGAGGCGTAAGCCTCCTTAAGAGGAGGGGGTTAGGATGAAGAGGAAGGGGGATCTCATTTTTTCTTTATTTTTAATAAAAATCTTTTATATTAAGAAGAATAAAGATGCATAGCATTAGTTGAAAGGGGATCTTGTTGAAGTGAAGGCGAGCGAGCGAAAGAGCTCGCCAAAGCGAAGCAAGACCCCCCTAACTCAAAAAAAAACACAAATTGGGCTGATAGCAAAAGGGGCGGGGGGTCTGGGGGACAAAACCGAAGGGACAAGGGGCAAACCACTTTCTTTCCCCTTATCTTTTCTTCCCTTCCCTTTCCTTTTCTTTCCTTTTCTCTTTCTTTTTCTTTCCCTTCCCTTTCTTTTCCTTTCCTTTTTTTTGTTTTATTTTTTTGTCTTTTTATATAAGATGTGTATGAGGCGTATGAGGTCTGCCTCTTGCACCTGAGGCATACGCCTCAAAGATGTCAGCGCCTTTGGCATATGCCTCGGGGCGTTTTGGGAGCGCCTCGCCTGAAGGCGTGCCTCCAGGCATACACCTCCCACGCCTTTTAAAACAATGGTATGCAAAAGTTGCCCTCCATGCTAAAATTCTCCTTGGAAAGCAATTCATTAAGTCTACCCCACTTTCCTCAACTCCATCTGGTACGATGTGGGATAGGGTAATAAAGTACAATTTTGGGAAGACCTTTGTGTTGGGGAGAAACCCCACTCAAAGACCAATTTCCTAATCTCTATGCTCTTTCAAACCTCAAGGGAGAAGACCTTTTGGGAAGACCACTCAAATTCTTTTGCACATCAAATTTGGGAATTCTTTTATATTCTCTTTGGCTACAGGTGGGTTCCCCTGCAAGATGTGGAAGAACTTTTTTTTGATAAATAGATGTGGTAAGACTTTTCAATCGTGACTTCTTAAGACAACCAAAGAAAAGAGGGATGGTAATGTGGAATGTTACGAAGGCAGCAGTGTGTTGGACGGTGTGGGAAGAAAGGAATAACAAGATCTTAGAGAAAAGCAAAAATGTAGAGGAAGTGATAGACAGTATCAAGATGAAAGTAGCTCATTGGGTAAAATCCTTGGACAATTTTTAAGTCTTCTCAGCCACAGACATTCTAAGAACCTGGACTGAATTTTGATGGGAGCTCCCTTGGAAATCCGGGACTTTTAGGTACAGGAAGAGTAATCAGAAACTCTGAAAGGAGGATACTGTCTATGTTCTTAGGACCGATTGGCATGGGGAACTCACTAAAGTCTAAACAATTGGCATTACTACAAAGTTTGAAGCTAGCTAAACAGCTGGTATTCAGGCATATTGAGGTGGAAGGGAACTCAAAAGAGGTCATTTCTTGGGCTGCAAGCAACAGCCTTACCCCTTGAGCTTTCAAACATGTGATTAGGGAAGTGGAAAAGATTGCAAAGGAGGTTGAGGCTAATTTCAAATGGGTCACAAGGAGTTCAAACAGACTAGCTGACTCTCTAGCCAAACAAGGGGCAACGAGACCAATTATTTTGGGGATAGGCACCAAGTTGGTCTCATTCTTTGGACCAAGTCACAGGTTTTGATATTCTAATGGGCAACTTTCCAACAAAAAAGCTGTAATCCTTGGTGGGACAGGCTTACCCCATACCTCTTTAGCAGGAAAAGGGTTAAGAGAAATAGTTGAGGATTAGGATAGGGCTTTAAAAATTGAGGCACATGAAAATAAAGCCGAGGAAGAGTAGGTCCAAATTTGGTGATCAGAGTTAGAAGGATCAAGGAATACTTTTTCGAGAGTTTGAATTAGGGTGAGCACATTAGGAATCTCAAGATCCCTTAATCCCCTTCAAAAGCCAAAATCCCAGCTGATACCATTGCTCAAATTCAAAGGAACCAGGAATTTAGATATAGGTTCATTATGCATAGAATACAAAGCAAATACAGATCAAAATTGGTCCTTAAGATAGGAGATCCCCAACCATAAATGTTCCCACAATTTTAAATGGTCCCCAAAACAAAGGGCATACCTGACAAATGGGAGAAATAGTGATAGCACTGCATCAATGGCCTTCAAGGGAGATGCCCGGGTTGCCCTTGTCAATACTCCAGCATCCCACCCTTTGTCCAAGAGCCCATGAATACTAACAAAAACTTGTTGACTATAGTTTGTCCCTATCTTGAGGTAGTCTCATAGCCATTTTCCAACAGAGAAAAATTCTTCTTCTGAATATTCCCCAACCCTAGACCCCCTAAACTTTTACTTCTGTTAACCACTGGAAGGTTGCTAGCATCAATCTAATTAAGTTAATCATAGCGCCTAGAGAGATGGGTATCCTCATTCCAGCAAGCAAGCCTTTTAGAAAGCCTTTTCATGAAAGGGTTCCAGAAGTTTAGCTCATCCGGGTTGCCCCTAGGGGTAAACCTAAGTAATTCAGTTGGAGCTAAGCAATTAGCCTTACATTGCTTGAGATTGAAGTTTGAGTTGTTTTGGACCATGCATTTTTATCAATAACTGAACATTTTGTTAATGACAATTAGGAGTACATATTACAAGTCATCAGTGGGAGAGAGAAAAAAAACTTCTATCTCCCCATACAACTTTCCTTACAATTTTGCCCAAAAGATTTGTTCCCTTCCTACCCCTTGCTTGGCTAGTACATCAACCATGGTTCTGGACCATGTTGAGTTGAAAGAAGATTCTCAGGAATTATAAACAAAAAGAAAGCACAAGTAAAAGTAGATCTCTGGCATCTGGCATTGAACAACTCATTGAGCTGGGTTCCAAAATCAGCTGACTCCCCTGCACAGAATTTGGCTAAAGGTAGAGTTGAAAGGAAATAGTTGTGGGTACAATCAATTTGGAGCAGTGGTTGGGTTGGTGGTGTGTGTAGTGTTGCCAGTGTCTAAGGTTCATTTTGTGGGGTGCACCTCTCCTAGCTCGTTGCAAAGTTTTGACTAACCTTGAATTTGTTAAATACATGATTTAATGTTGTAATATGTATTTAGGATGCTTAGAGTTTAAAAATTTTAGCCTATATACAAAGCCACTAGCTTTGTAATAACTACACAAAATTCTTGAAACACTTTTTCACTTCATTCAGTTTCATGCCTTGCCTTCTCAGGTTATAATTGAACATATTTTTAGTCTAATGAATTATGGTTGTGGAAAGTTGCTATAGGTATTTCTTCTCTCTCATTCTGGGAATTTTTTATTTGTTATTTTGTTCAAATATCTTTTCTCTGTTCGTTTGTTTTTACAGCAACTGTTTCTTCTTCTTCTTTATCTTTTGTTTTCCTCTAATTTCTCATCATTGAGATGATTTCTATTCAACATTACTATCATACAGTCTAACAAGCTATATTCCATCCTTAATTAATTTTCCAATCTTAAATTCTCATATTCTGCAGCATATTAATTGGCTTCGATCAAATGCACACAAGATTAGATATTTTGACTCGAATATAGGAATCCATATAAGATATTTCCAAAGTAAACCCAAGAGGCAAATAAGTAATTGCAACTAAAACTCACCAATTCTTTGAGTCATCAGCACCAGCTAGAAATGAATCCAGTTTATCTTTCCTGGCCTGCTTTTTTATCTTTTTTCCAGTAATGTCATATCCAATGTGTTCCTCATCCTCATACCACTTCAGTGGAACATCTCCAATTGTATTTCGAGGAGCAACCTGTAAAACCACAAAAAGAATGTCAGTGAATCCATAACTATGCTGAACATCAACTTTCAAAAATAATAATCAAGACAGACCTCATCTTCAGAGGAATCACTCTCTTCAACTCCCAGATGTGCTTCAGCCCCTTCATCCTGATCTTCCTGACTGTAAACCCTGTGTTCATCATCATTCCCACTTGTCCCAGCAAAGTCCTGCAATTGTTGTTCCTCAAATACATAAATAAATCAAAGCATAAAATGAATATCATCTCAACTGTGAAGAAAGAAAAACATGAAATAACATGAAATACAAACAATTACCGTGTACCTCATCTTCTGAGGCTTCATTTCCCTTCACCCTAGGTTCCTTCTCAAGATTACCATTTTCAGAAAGTTCCTATTTACAAATATAAAACATCTTATATCAGCATAGAATTAAACATCATCTCACAGAGGTGCAGAAACAAAGTCGAGAGAAAGAAGATGAAATAAGTATACAAATATACCAATGTCAAAAGAGATGAGACATTACAACAGGCATATATGAGATGGCATCATGGAAATTCTTAATGATGACTAAGAGAACAGTTATTGGGTGAAGAATTTCGTCTAAAAACCCAATTTTGGAATTTTAATTACAAGTTAGCAACTAGTGCCACATTTGCAACAGAGCTATATAATCTATGTGAGCGTCAGAAAACAGCTCACTTGAGCTGGTCGCCACCCATCATTGAGATAAATCGGAAGTGATGGGCCTCCCAGAATTACTTATGAAGTCATTTTGGTCTAGTAGTGACTCCAAACCAAAGGCAATGGTTGAACTAGTCCAGGTAAGACTCGGATGGGACAAGGAAGGGGTTAAACACCCCTCTCCCATTTCTAGTAAGTGGGTCCACATAAGGGAGACTGAACAAGCATAATTTAGATACCAAGAGATGTCCAACATACGTGTTACAATTATGTGCATTGAATAAGGACAAATATTCAGCAACATACAAGAGGAAATGATTTAGTCAGTCCCTAGAGAGAGAGCATAACATAAATAAAGAATGTCTAAAAAAAACTAAGGTAAAAAAAGGGTAAAGTCTAAACTGAGGATCATTTAACAATTCAGAGCTACATGTACTAACAGTAAAGAATATTTATTATAATCAGAATTATTCGATAACACGAGAGAACAATGACTAACCCTCCAAGATGGATAATTTAATGGCATAGGAAAGTAAGGCCTTTGACCGATTCTAAGAGGAAGTTATGTGAACTTTTATTATAAGAGAAAACAAGTTGAAAGAGAACATTTATCAAAAAAGAAAAACAAGTTGAAAGAGAAAAACACAAGTGACCTTAATTGCAAGCTGCATGAAAGTATGATTTGAACCCATAAATATAGGCCATGAATCAAGTATGACGGAGTATTCTAAGCTGGAGAAAGCACTAAAGCCCATATAGCAGATGACAATGTAAGAGGTTAGGAATCAAAAGGAAAGAGAAACAAAATCAATATTTAACCTGTGATAACATGTATTTCATGCAACAAGCATGACTGAAGATTCTTGGAAATACCTAATTTATTTAATGCCTGATTACCAACATAAAAATAAGTAATATCAAGACATACTGAGGCAATCATAGAAAGATGAGAGTACTTATTGACTAGGAAACCGAGAGATTGCAAAGAAACTGGTAGCATGTTCATCAACCAGACTAGGGGAAACATCCTGTTACGGCACAAAATAGATATTCAAGATTGAAAACAGAAGCCCCCAATGAATACAAACAGAAAAACTGAGATGTCTGATTACTCACTTTAACTCCACTACTTCGAACCATGGGTTAATGACGTGAAGTCAGAACAATGCAGCTATGAATGCAAAAGGGTGTAGCAGGAGTTGGTCCACAGAGTGGAAGTGGCGATTGAAGTTTGGCCAGGGTTGTCAGTTCAACCAAAATTGGCATGATACTTGCTTGTTACAATCAACCAGCATTGTTTTAACAATGTTGTAATAAACCAAAAGAAAAAGGATGAGGAGAAAATATGGGGAGAGGGAAAAAAAGCAGGAAAAGGAAAGGAGGAGAGGGTGCAGTGATGTTGAATTTTAATCGTATGTATAGAGGAAAATAGGGAAGAGAGAACAAAAACAAGAAAATAAGAGGAAAAAGAGGAGAGAAGAAACACAATGGGAAGATAAGATAGGAAATGGTGAAAAGAAATAAAGAAGTGTGGGAATAGGCAAGAAACCACCATTGTTGCAAGTTACAGTGTTTGAACAGAGTTGATGGTGAATAGTGAAGAAAATTCTCTGCCCCTATTTTTTGGCTTCCTTTTTTTTGAATGAAAACTTTAGGAGGATTTTATATTATGATATAAGTGTAATTTTGTAATTTTGTATGGTTTTAGGGATATTTTGGTCATTTTGAGAATAAAGACAAATATGGATTCCATTTGGGTGGACCAAATTTTGGGACCAATTATGGATGGTGAAGAAAGGGCCTGAGGGTATAAGAAGGTATTTGGGTTATGGCCAACAGAATTACCTGAAATGGAATCTTTTTAGTTAAGGGGGTAAATGAGGGTGCTTTTGGGTGAAAATTGGTAAAGATTGGTGGGGTCTGATTGGCCTCGAATAGTTCAGATCAAGGGGATTTAGGGGAAGAAGGAATCAGCCAATGAGGGTGCTCAGAATAGAATTTTTGTCTAATAAAGGGGCAGATGAGGAAATTTGGGACTGAAAATTAACTAGGTAGGGATTCTAAAGACTCTAGATGAGTTGACTTGGTTTGATTGGTTAAAACATGCTTGGATCAGGGGAATCTGAGGTACAAGTATTCCAATCAACGAATAGATTCAGATGGAATCATGGAATCTAGGTTTTATGGAAAGTTGGATGGTGAAGATCAAAGGTGAAAATGCATAAATAGGTGTTTGAAGGTGTCTAGGATCTAACGGAAAAGACAGATTCTCAATCAAATGGATAGAATGAGAAATTTTTCGGTTGAGAGCATCTGAAATCACATTGGGGTGGCCAACCTAAGGTCTCAAAACAGAACCTGGAATTATTCTTGGATTAGACAGAGAAGTTTTGTCATGAAATTTGGTCAGTTGGCTGAGTATGGGCTTTTGGACTTAGAAGAAGGATTCGATGTGGCCAGTGGGATGAGGTTGAGCAATTTCAAGATTTAGAGGCCTGGGCTAACCGGAATCACTGAAAAATACTCCCTGTTTATTTCAAAACCATGCAGTGCAAAAGACCCTTTTACTTAAAAAAAAATACTCCCTGTTTATTTCAAAACCATGTTAGAACAATTTTCTTTTTTACCTATTCCAAGAAAAATGATTGGGATATACACCAAACAAGCAAACTGCCTTTATATGCAAGAAAGCCGATTGATATACATTTATAAGCAATCAAGCAAATTGCTTTAGCTGATTGATTTCTCCTCGAAGTACTGTGGATATCTTCCTTTCTTCTCTAGCATCTGTAAAAGCAACAGGCATCCCTCAGCCAAGATTAGAAGAGGAGGTGACCCTGAACTTTGATGGAAGTGCCCTTGGGAGCCCTAGTTTAGCAAGGATTGGGGGTGTGTTTAAGGGAAGGGATGGGAATTTACTGTGGGCTTACAGTGGTCCAACCGGGGTCGCAGACTCTACAAAGGCTGAAGTGTTAGCAGTGCTAATTGGACTCCGGATTGCAAGAGACCTTGGCATGTATTCCCTTGTCATCAAAAGAGATTCGAGCAACATCATTGGACGGCTTGGGGAGAAGAATGGCATGGAGGCTAGCTCGTTACTTGGACAAGGCTCGGGATCTTCGGGACTCTTTAAATGCTAATCTGTTCCGAATCCCAAGAGTTAAAACTCTTTAGCAGAATGGTTGGCTAAACCAAGAGCCCACAGGGAAGTTTTACATAGCAAGAGAGCTATGCCTTTGTAATCTGTGTGTGCTCCCTGTTGTACATATTTTCATGTATCCTTTTCTTGTTTAATGAAATCTTTTATCTTTCATCTCAAAAAAAAAAAACTAAATAATAATAACAATAATTACAAGATGTATAATATATATTTGCAAAAGAATAAGAAGAATATTTATTTAACCAAAACCTAATATTTTGCAATGAACACAAACAACCTGCAAGATGGCAAGTGATATGGAAGTTTCATGTACCTCAATTGGGTTAGATATTTTTTCGGGCTCTTGAGCTTCTTTTTCTTCTTTGCTTACAGTTTCTGTTGCTAATGGAGACTTTGAACTCTCGGTTTTCTTCTTCTTCTCCTCCATTACTGCGGCCGTAGCTATTTCTACTGCAACTTGAGACTTCCTGGGCACCTTCATTAAACACTAGAAATTGAACAGTAATAGATGTCAATAGATGTCAGATAGTGCAGAAAACCCAAGAGAGAAACGTCAGCTGGGCCTAGGGTCTAGGGAGGGAGGGAAATTGGAAGGGGAAGAGAGGTTCATAGATAGGGGTGGCAAACGGGTGGGTTGGGTTGGGTTGGGTGTGGTTCAAATACCAACCCACCCACTGTGACCCACTATAAATGATTGTTAGTGAGTCACAACCCACTCTGGCCCTCGTCCACCCTTACCCACCCATATTGACCCTCACCAAGTACAAATATTTGTTTATTTTAGTTTTCTTTTTTTTTTTACATTTTTCTATCAAATGCCACACCCATGTCAGATCAACTCATATATCAACAAATAATCTGAGACAACTATTCAGTATGTGCCCTTTTCATGATTGCCACATGGCAGTTACAGGCCGGGTCAACCCGTATATCCAAAACTTGCAGAAATTACATAAAAAGATAAAAAGCCAAAAAAAAATATATTTCAGCCAAAAAATAGAAATTGTAGAAAAATACATAAGATGATAAAAATAAATATTTATTTCAAATAAATAAACAAAAAATGTAGAAAACACATAAAAAGATAAAAAATCAAAAAATATATTTTAGCAAAAATAAAAAATTACAGAAAAATACATAAAATGGTAAAAAAATCAAAAAGCATATATTTCAGCTAAAAAACAATGATTGCAGAATATACAAAAAAGGATAAAATTTTCAACAAATTATATAGAAAATTTTGCAAAGGACAAAGAAAATAATAAAAATTTAATATATATAAACAAAACAATAGTCTGGTGATTTTCAAGTTTAAGACAGTCCCTCAAGACTATTTCAAGTTTCAACAAAAACAGAAATTTCAAAAAAAAAAAGAATGCAACAAACTCAAATTATATTCTTAGTGTTTGCATAATTTTCAAAAATGCAACTAATTATACTCTGAGTTGTTTGCAGAATTTTCTAGGAGGAAGATTCGTGAATATTGAATTTGTTGTTGAAACTTAGATCCTCTACCTTAGACTATTTCAAATTAACAAAATAAATATGGAACTTTGGAACCTAATCATACTCATCCGATTGCAAAATGATACATGACTTAGGAGAACTCACCCCTAAAAGCTAGCTGTTAGAGGGAGGGAACCCAAGCACATATATACCCCACAACAGCATCCCATTCTACCGATATGGGATACCTCACATTAGCATCCCATACTACCAACATAAGACAACTGGACCGTAACATCCCACCATGCTTCCGCAGTCCCGGCGCTCACGCAGGCTGGCTTGGCACTAGTCCACCTAGTCCCGGCCAAACACTGCAATACCGACGTCACCACCTGCGCCGCATGATTGCAACTGGGAGGCATAGTGTAGGCTCTGATACCATTTGATAGTGACTTAGGTGAATTCACACCTAAAAGCCAGCTGTTAGAGGGAGGGAACCCAAGCACATATATACCCCACAACAGCATCCCATTCTACCAATATGGGATACCTCACATTAGCATCCCATACTACCAACATAAGACAACTGGATTGTAACACAAAAGTTCTTAAATTCTAGAAAATTTAAGTACAAACTCAAATAAATTGTTTCCAGAGACTTGCAACTTAAAGTGAATATAATCTGCGACAAGAACATTTGAACCGAGAATATTAGAACAGATTGAAACCTTTGATTGAAGCCGAGAAAATTTGAATAGATTGAAACCAAGAAAACAGTCTTGTCCTGCACCTATCCAAATAATGAAAATAAGAGGAGACCGTGAAGACTTACTGATTTCAGATGTAATGAAACCTTCAAACGATGGCAGACAGGATAGAATAGAAAAAGACACGTGGAAACAGGAAAGAAGAGAAAAGACTTCAATATACAGAGAAATTCAACAAAAATCATCACCTATCCAAATTCGAAGGTTCTTATCTATAGATTAACAAGCTTTTTTGTATAGTAGCGACTTATATACATCTACAGATTAGCAACAATTTTTTACCTCCCCTCAACCCTAACCCTAATAGCTTCAATGGAGGAACAAAGAACTTTAAAAAAAAAAAAAAAATCAAACCTTAACAGAGCAGCAGCTTCAATGACGACTTCCACTGGCGGAACAGGCAACTGAGAAAAAAAAAATTCAAACCCTGATAGAATAGCAGCTTCAATGGTGACTTCCACTGGCGAAACAGAAGACTGAGAAAAAATTTTCAAACCTTGATACAATAGCAACTGCAAAGCGACTTCCAGTGGCGAAAGAGATGCTGAGAAAAATATTTTCAAACCCTAAGAGAGTAGCAGCTTCAAACCTTAAACCCTAAGTGAGATAAAAGAAATATACTTTCAACCCTCCCCACGACCCAATCCACCCCAACCCTTTTTCAAGCCTCAACCCAACCCACAGTGTAAATAGGGCCGTGCTGGGTCGTCAAGGCACGGCCCGCATGCAGCTGCGCAAAGTGCGGGCCATCCCGGGCCGTGCCTCCCTTCCTTGTATAATTTGGGGGTCAGCCCGGCATGGACCACGGCCCAAGCTTGCATGGGCCGAGCCTTGTGCCAGGTTAGGCTGTGGATCGGGCCAATCTATGAGAAGTAAATTGTTTAAATTTTTATTTTATATGATTTTTATTTATACAATAGTTTATATATACAATAATTAAATAAAATAATATAATAAATTGAAAATAAAATTATATATTATATATTATTATATAATTATCATATATATATATATAAATATAATTATAAAAATGCGTGTGTGCCAACCTGGCCCACTCAGCCGTGTCGTGCTGTGCCAGCCCATAGACCTAAAACCCTAGGTTCGACACAGCCCGATTTATAGCTCTACCAACCCCATCCTAACCCATATTTACCCACTACTATAATGGGTTGATATGGGTGGATTTTTAGTGGGCGGGTTGGGGTGAATCAAGTGGGTTGAAGCAAGGTTCAAAATACCGATATGTATCGTATCAGGGGCTTCCCGATATGCCCCTATAAGGGGTGTTTCAGGGTCTCAACCTGTTTCAAGGGGTGGATGGAGCTTAAACCAATTCCTCTAAACCAAATTAAAAAAAAAAAAACTGAAAAAGATAAATAAATAACTACCAATACACTCCAATATGCCTCTACCAATGTGTCAGATGTATCGATATTTTGAACCTTGGGTTGAGGTCAAAATTATCGGCCCTACTCGTAGATGAAACTTTTATAAAGGGTTTTGAAAAGTTGATTCAAATATTGAATCGGGAAAAAAGAATAAATGGTTCATTCTGCAACTGAAAATGGATTGGTTAAATCCAAATTAGATTCAATAAAAAAAATATCCACAGGCAAAATACTTAGGCTCCGTTTGATTTTTCGGAATAGTTGCTTGGAACATTCCCATTCCAACTATTTATTTGAGAGGAATGGGATTCTCCCTTATGGGGAATGGCCATTTTAATCTACTTAAGAAATATATTTCCCATTCATTTCTCAAAACCTATAGAACTCTTGACATAAGAACCCCCAAACCTTGATATTAATACTTATAAAAAACCCCAATAGTAATATTGATAAGAATAATAAATAATAGTATTATAACAAATTATTAATAATATTTAAAATGATAATAGAGTAATAATAATATATTAATAATTAAATAATAATAATAATATATTAATAATTAAATAATAATAATAATATTGAACAAATACGATATTCATAAACTAATAAGAAAATAATGGTAAAAGATAACAAAATAACTACATATTAATAAATTATTCACAACAGTAATAAAATACTAAGATAGTAATTACAAAATAATAACCTTAATGGTAATGCAATCAAATTCCCTTTTGATTTTTCTTGGCCTTGAAAATTTTTGTTGCTTCTCTTTTCCCAATTTGACCACAAATGGTTAATGCCAATCCCAAATATAAAACACCAAGGACATGAAATGAGTAAATGTGTTAATATCTCACTACAAACCAAGCAAAGGCTACAAATATGAGGTCAAAGGCACCATTGTTAGAAGAGAGTTGTCTTAAAAGTTCTTCCTAAGGGAATTCTCTTCTAACATTTTCCCATTGCATAAAAGATCCCCACTCCAAAAACCAAGAATTGAAAATAAGTTATTGAGAAAACAACTTATTGAGAAAACAACATAAAGAAATATGCATGAAGTCAGGAGTGGACCAACCACCTACAAAGAGGGTAGGTTGCTATGGACGGGCTATCTAATAGAAGATTCACAGGGTATTAATGAAAAAGGTGGATGTTAAGGAGTTGAGTGTGATGGATGTTGGTTTATTAGTCTCTAGTTGCATTAGAACGAGAATGAGAAAAAATAGGGATGGTATGGAGAATCAATTTAGGTTGATGGTTGGAAAAGCTGCTAATGCCTCTACAGCCGACTAGGCTAAAGGAAATGCAAAATGCAGTATGGTGCAAATGAAGTGGGCCTCTACCGTGAAAGGCATAAAAAATATTTGGGAAATATTTCCGAAACACGCCAAAAAACTAAGGAAAAACCTTATTTAGATTAAAACACTCGCATTAAGCAGTTTATTTGGATTACCACTAGTTGAGAAAAAAACTCACATTATTATTTTTTTATTTCAACAACAACTAGTAGACATACTTTATTTAAGAACCTATAACAACATATTTGCATTATTTTGTTAATATTTACTTCATCCATTCATACACCTTTCTTTGTCATTAATTTTTTTCTATTCTCACTCTTTTTGTTTTTGTCTTTCCTTTATTTTTTGTATTTTTCATTCTTCTTGTCTTTACCTTCTTTTTTTAATTTGATTTTTTTGCATTTTTTTCTATTTATAATGTTTACCTTCTTGTTTTTGATTTTTTTTTTAATTTCTTATGATTGCTTTATTTTCATTTTTATTTTGACTTTTCTTGTGTTCTAATTAATTATCGAAAATAAATATGGTTAATTTTTCTTATTTAGATAATTTGGATTCTGTTTCCTCATTTTTATTTGTTTTCTATTTTAATCTTTTTTTATTTTTATTTGTTTTGAATTTGTATTAGAGGTTTACTATTTCCTTTTTGAATTTTTGAATTTTTGAATTTTGATGATATATATTTTTTGTTATTTATTTATTTGTGCTATGATTGATTATTCTTAATTACTCAAAAGAAATATGTAGAAATTTAATTAAATGATTTTGTTTCTTTCATCTTTTTTTTCTTCTTTTTTCTTCTTTTGCTTTTTTTTGCCTTTTGTGCTTCTATTTTTGCTGATTTTTGAAATTGAATTTTTATTTTTTATTTTTCATATATTTATAATTTTTTGTTTTCTGTTATAATTTCTTTGGTATATATTTTATTATTTTTTGACACTTTTCTTCATTTTTGGATTTTTAAATTTTATAATATTTTTTATTTCTTTATATTTTTTATTTTTTCCTTTTTTCTATTTAAAAGCTTGCCCTTTAATTTTCTCTCTTTGATTTTTTTGGATTTATTATTGTTCTTTTTTTGACTTTTTATAAAATTCTTTTTTGATTTTTTTCTTTTTGTTTTTTCTAAGATTTTATATTGTTTTTTGACTTTTATTTGATTTTTAATTTTTTTTGGACTTTGATTGTTATACACAATTTATGTTTTATTTTCCTTTCTTTTTTTTTGCTTTTCTTTTCACCTCTTTTCCTATTTTTCTTTTTATTTTCTATATTTTTCCATGTTGTTTGTTGATTGATTTTTTTTTTGTTTTTTTAATTCTCAATTTTATTATTGTTTTTTATTTTGATTTTCACACATTTTCTTTTCACCACTTGAGATTTTATCTATTTTTTATGCATGCTCCACAAGGGGCATATAAGCAAACAAAGTTGGGTTACTAATATCCTAAGTGACTAGACTGACATCTGGAGTATGATGCATGAGGGGTGGGTTTGACACCTAGACTCAAGGCTCCAACAAGGTCACCAGCCTTCAAACCTCCACCCATTGAATAAATGGGTTTTTCAGGTTGGTGGCTAGTTTGAGAACTTTCAACATAGCGTACGGGTACTTCAGTCCCGAGGCATAGCTTACTAGTCTCTCCTAAATAGGACATGTGATTCTACAATCTAATGCAAATGGTGTGCAAAATGTGAGTGATATCTAAAAATGTAAAGCATGGAAAACAATAATTGAATAAAATCACCATATGCAAATGTAAATAACATGTTAACAACATCCTGAAACCTCAAATAATCAATTCATAGAATGTTCTTTCACAAAGTCTATATTATTTGCCTCTCATTGGAATATCAATCTTATAAAAATGAATCCTACATCCTGGATTGATGTATACTTTATATTGAACAAAAAAGTTCAAATAAAGGTATGTCTCGAATAATTCTATCATGGTACGCCATTGCTTTATATTATATTTGGTATGCGAGAAATAAAAAGATCTTTGAAGACCCATATATTTCTAATATTTGGATTATTCGGAAAACTAATTCTATGTTTCAAGCAATTTCAAGCTCTCCTTTACATTCATCTCTAGATATCACTTTGCCCACCCAACTGTGCTTAAAACTGAATATATGTATTGACTATCTCATTTTTACTGAAGCATGAAAGATTAATCATTCCTTATTTTCTTATGGAATTATTGTACTCAATATTGAATTACAATGCATCCAAATTTCAGGAGGAATAAAGTAATTGCACACTATAGAAGAAGCTGAACTTTTTGCGATTCACCAAGGAAGCATATTAATACAACAACTTGGAAAATCTCATCCAACATTTTGCTCAGATTCCCAAGTTATTATCCAAGCTCTCCAAAATCAATTTTCCCTTCCTTGGTCATCTTTAGGATTGTTGTTTGAAACTCAGAACTTATTATCTAAGTTTATTTCTTTTAAACTTTTACATATTAACAGGAGGTATAATGTTCCTGCGCATCAAATAGCAAAATTGTGTAAAAGTACTCCACAAGAACATCTTTTATTGTATAACTATCCTCCTGTTGTACAAAAGGTTCAAGACTTTGTATTTTGATCTTTTTGTTAATATATATTTTGTTTTGCCTATAAAAAAATGTAAATAGAATGATTCACAAAACTAAGCACCAAGAAAAATAATAACTCACTAAAAACAAATTACACAAGAAAGGTACTCACATGCATTAAACTTTCTGATGTAGCACGACTTGATTGCTACTTGCTGGAGGATGATCTGGCTTCCAGTCAGACGACGAGCTGAACAAATCTGCAAGAAAAAATCAAAGAACTCGGGGTGGCTAACCCAGTGAGGTCGCTCCGATGTTTAAGTTAGTAATATGGTGCGAGCTTAAAGAGCTTTGAGAGTTTCTGAGAGCTAGAGAGCAGAGAAATCACGCGTACCTTATGCCATTGGGG